TTGCCGACCAGCCAGTGAAGACCAGCCACAAGCATCGCAAGAGCTACCGATGTATCCCGAAAAAATCACTGTTTGGTTTGGATTATGGATCGGTGGCATCATTGGGCCGTATTTCTTCAAAGACGACAATGGCCGGAACGTTACTATAAATGGCGAGCGCTACCTTATGATGATTGATGACTTTTTGTTGCCCAACAGGGAAGAATTGGACATGCCTGACATGCGGTTTCAACAAGATGGTGCCACATGTCACACGGCACGCGAAACAATGGCCCAATTAATAGTCGCCTTCGGTGAACAGTTCATCTCACGTTTGGGGCCCGTCAATTGGCCGCCTAGATCGTATGATTTAATGCCTTTGGATTATTTCTTGTGGGGTCATGTTAAGGCTCATGTCTACAGGGATAATCTAGCAACGACTGACGCTCTTGAAGCCAATATTGTGAAATAACGTGAAATAACGGTCGATATGTTAGAGAGAGAGTGCCAAAATTGAACCTTGCGCATGGGCCATCTAAAGCGGAGCCGCGGACAACATTTGCATGAAATCATATTCAAACATTAAACTATATTGATCGTTCTATCGATTCCAATAAAGATTTCATCAGGTTTTTCAAATTTTTGTGTTGTTTTGAAAATAAAATCCTATACCTCTTTGAAAATCACCCGTTACATCCATTGGGATGGCAGGTTGCAACAGGTTAATTAATTGGTACTTCTCACCTATCTGTTCAATGAATGATTTTTTACCAAAAGAAGCGCTGTTTTTTGCGAACACTTCGATAAGAAGTTGTCTGTGAAAATTTTGGCATAAATAAGGGTTGACAAGCATCAAAAAGCGAAATTTCGATACGAGTAGGAGCGAAATTTCCCCGTACCATTGGAGAAGATGCAGCGTTACAACTGCGCGCGCTACGTCCCTCAGATGAAAGAGTAATTGAGGGAGATATCGATATACTAGTGAATATTGAGCTTTTTTCGAAGTAACTTGAGTAGTAACTAGAACAGACTTGATAATGGATACTAGAATCCAGATATTTTGGTCCGTCATCATTGACAGAAGTATGGACGTGCAGGAACTTCAATCTTCCTCTTGAAGATGATCACTTGTTGATCGAAACACGTGTCGATATGTAAAAATTATGGTTTGGTGTTGGGATGAAACTCCATTTCATAGATGGAAATATTTGAAAAATTTAATCCTTGTAATTTGATCGAAACAAATCCAAGCAATGTTTGAATTTTACAATCTGGATTATCATTTTTCCATTAAGAATACAATATTGAAAATATATTTACTGTCACATAATAATTGATATAATAAAATTTTTATTAATTTTTTTTTGAAGCAGTTTTTCATAACACAAGGTACGATTATTATTACTTACAAAGTTATTCTTATTTATATCATAGATACCTCTTTCTTGAGAGCTGCGTCTTAAGTGTCTCAAATTCCACAATATTGCCTTATCTACTAGTCTTAAATTAATTTTACAATGTAACCTTATGTAATTGTCCAAAAGACAAAGTTGAGAATTCGGAGAAGGACTGCGATGCACAATATTATGGACAGACAAAAAGATCTATTAAATGAGCAGTCGCCCATCATGTTTTGCAACAAAACCATTCCATAGACTTCAGTTCATTAAGATTAGTTAGACAATTTATGAGAGTGTAGAAACACATAATAATATCATGAATAACGATGGTGGATCAATACCTAATAGTATACTATATAGCTTGTTAAAATAATATTTTAATAATTAAATTCACTTACTATTCCATAAGGACACATTGTAGAATTAATTGAAGACTAGTAGATAAGGCAATATTGTGCAATTACACATAAGACGCAGGTAATTAGAAGAGATACCTATGGTATGAAAAAAGATAACGTTATAATTAGGATTAGATTGATCTTTCTCTTGAATAATAATGGTAATATACTTTAGTGTCATTAAGAATAAATCTTGTGGACAAAGCTTGTGAAAAGTACATACAAATGTAAGTATAGAAATATAAAATGTGAATATAAAAACACATACAAAAAAGTAAAGTTAGAACATACACTATAGTTCAATATCGAAAGTTGGTCACAACATGGTTGTGTACAGACTTGTTTAAAAATATTATCAACACTTATATAATAGACTTACTTATTTATAATATAACATAAATAAACACACCCATTGAACCAGACAAACAAACATTTATATCAAAACAAAAATATAATAAACAAAAATCTTATATAACCTGAATTCAAATATGCACATTTTGTCACGTAAATTTAGCACTCTTGCAACTCTTGCAAAAATGTTTTACCTACTCTTATTCTAAACAGTGGTCAAATTTGCCTGTCTTATATCTGAGGGCAAGTGATCTTGACACCATTGTAATAAATATAATTCCTTGGTGATCGAAACACGTGTAAAGGTGTTGAAATAACAGTTCAGTGTCAGGAAAAAACTCCAGTAATATTCATTACTACACCGAAGGTTCCAAACAGTATATTACAAATACAAGGTATGACGACCAATAATATCGAGTGGTCGTTCAATAAGCTCCACTTCTCGACTTGTACTTGTAATTCTTCATTAATATAAATGCACAGAGTACTGAATTGAAGAATATAAAAACCGTTACCTCTAATTGAACAAATTGTTAAAAACTGAAATAAAAATGGATCAATAATAGATTTTGGGTCTTTTTTCTAAGCGGTTAGGCTTTTTGAAAACGAATCAATCTTTGTGCACTGCATTGGTTATTTGATGAAAAAAAAAGTTGAACTGGAAACATTAGCGTTGAATAAATCCAAAACAAGTACTTCTCCTAAACACCAGAACTGCAATAATTTTCTCGACACGCGTTTCAACAACCAATTTGGCGCCTTCAGGAGATGATTGGATTGAAATTACTGATCGGCCTCGTACAACAATAATACAATTACTGGAGATTCCTGACAGAGAATTCTTTTCGCATGGGAAAGTTGCGTTTTCCGAAAAATATGTATCCTTTTGGGCAAAATTTCTGTTTTGAAAACTCATTTGTGAGCTAATTTTCGAATGTTACTCACTTTCAGTCTGCTTGCCGACTAAACTGGATCCTTGAGCATACCAGTACACATCTCACATCGTAAAACAACAATCGAATCGTTTGACGATTCCCATTTTAGTGCTTTCCTTTCTGAGAGCGGAGAGAATCATCAATATGTCCCTTTCTAGTTTTATTCTCGTGGAGGGTTTCTTGTTTTTACATGTAGATTTCACTCGCTGTGAGCAAATCATTAGCAGTAAAGTTTGGGATTTTTGTTAGTATCCACGATTCATACGAGCTACTTTCTGTAATAATAATAATGATAATATTTATTTTACTTTTTGACATCATTGAACACGTATAGAAATCTTCAGGTACATAGCTGTTTTTATAAGATTTTTCATTGAAATTTCGGAAAAAAAAATTGATTCTGACCCAAGTTTCGAGTTTGACGCAGAGATCATGGATTCTAAAATATCATTGAAACTGTAGATTACTTGCCACAGACTTGAAAATAAAATAGCATACTCAATAAAAGTAGAAGTGAAAGTAATACATGTTATCAAAATTAAATATTAAAATATACAAAAGACAGTAATTAGTCATGTTTATAATAAAATAGGAATATAAATAGAAATATATAACTTTTATTCATGTATACACGTATACTTACCTTAGACTTCGTCTAATAGTTTTTGTTGGCCTAAATATTGGTTCCACTTCATTTTTCTCTGAGGTTCTTCCAATCTAATCTGTAACATTTTCAAAAAAGGCAAGGAAAGCTTTCTCCTAGACCAGCCTATCTAATGTTACTTTGGCGTTTTCTCCTGGATCTAATGACCTGCTCAAATTCTGCTTCGCTGTACCCATTCCCTTTGAAATCGTTTTTCAGGTGATCGAGTTCCTCAAGACTCTTAGGTTCACAGGTACGTTGTGTTCTCTCTTTCATTGTGGCTGGTGGTTAGAGTTTTTGTTCAGGTACCTGTCTGTTAATGTTGGTTTCCAGTACACTCTGTAGCTCAATGTACCATCCGCACGCCTAGTCTTTTGGGTTTTTTATCTCATTGTCAATTGGATTTTCAGATTGAGAGAGTTTAGATATTGAAGAAAATCGTTCAGTGTCTTTCTACCAGCTGGCCATACCAGTTTGCCATCAACATAATGCAGCCAACAATATGATTTTACGGCCGCTTGCTCTAAGGACTGTTGGTCGAAACTTTCCATGGGAAAGTTTACCACTAAGGAACATTTTTGAAGTACATCGCCTTTGATAATGTTTACCGCAGTAGTAGATGAAACGTCAGTCATTAAAACCTGCAGACCACGGCCAAAAAAACCCGGGAAGTAACTTTCACACAAAGACAATAATATTTAACCGGTATCAAAAAATGTTATGCGCTGATCGACAGTTCAGTTTCATTAAAGAAAAAGTACTCATGATTTGAGTAGACAAAGTACTCGAGAATAAATAGACCTGTGCGAATAACGTTGTTTATTTTACTCCTACGTGAGCTCTCTGTGTAATTTGATGTATCTCAAAGTTGGAAATTTGTGTTTTGAAACTTGCTATTTCATCTTGCTCCAAAACAAGAAATTCTGTCCGTTTAGTTCCCATTTATTGTTTCAACGGTACAAATGGAAACATAACATTTGCGAAACTGTATTTACGCAAGAGTATTGGAGTTTCCACAAGTTATTTGTCACATTAAGAATATCACCAATGATGATTCAATTTTCTCTATGACAAACATCGAAATAATGTGATATCAATGATCAGGTAATCAGTTCACTATTGTTTATGCAGTTGTCAACGGCGATATTCCGAGAAACGGCAATACAATTAATATTATCGTAGATTACATGTCAATGATCAGAGAAATATTGCAAAACACATGAGAACTATGAGGCAAATTTCGAAATGAAAATAGTAATAAACAATTTTTCAACACTATTTACCTTCAACAAAGTATATAAGTTATATTTCCTGTACCCAGTTGTTCATTCAGCAGCTTGTTAATATTTCATATCACTGAAAATGAGAGCTGTAATTTATTTCTCTATAATTGGGCTATTGGTGGGGATAACTTTGTCTCATCCCCATCAAACACCACCCAAGAGGGTTGAAGATTTTGTTGAGACTAATTTGGAAGTGGAGAGTCTGAAAGATTCAGAATTAGGCTCAAAAGGAGTCCCTGAAGTTGAAGGTAAGTATTCGAAATCTTTCCGTTTTCATTTTGAAAAAGATTTGAAATACAAATGCTTCGATGGACGTTGAACTATTCGAATACAAACTTCAGTATACTGATGCTACTGATAATAAAGAGCCATTGATTAATTGATAAAATTGTTTGATAAAAATTTCGATATAATCATCATTACAGGCAGAAAGTTATAGTATATTGTACAACAAGTGAGAAAAACGACATATTACTCACTCTCTTGATTTGTGGCTCGTAAGAAGTATGTCATTTTCTCACGCATTGTACACTGTACTTTTTCTACGGTTGCGTTGTTTTCAAGTATTGAAAATTAAAATACATATATAATAATACTTGTATGTAAAGAGAAATGACAATTTCTATGTTTTTTACGAAACTGCAGTAACGTTAGTTACAGATAAAAGTGGTTTACTTTTTTACTTCGAAACAAATTATACAACTGTCCGCCCTCTGTTGGAGACTTACTGCATCTCAGCATTACTATAGAATTTGAGACGTCATACTTTATTATGTTGTTTGAGAGCAATTTTACATTCGCTCGCCGTCTGTTAATGATTTATAATACTAGTGACTAGAACTTAAAAAAAATATTTTTGACAATAAATCGGACTAAAAAGTGAAAATATGGTTTAGAAAAACTAAAAAACACGCTTTTGAAGAACATCGAACTAAAAAGTTAAAAATATATTTTTTTTAAATAAGCTTATTACAATAACTAATGAAAAATACTTTTTAACTTTTTTAGTTTTTTTAAACTATATTTATTCTCTTGATGTGCTTGGTAGCAAATTATTGCAAACATCTATTGCTTTTTGAATAATTTCTGGAGGTGTATTTTCTAACTCTAAATCTTCGTATTCCATTATATTCAATATTTAATTGATCTGAACTGTTTATACTATAACAATCAACAATAAAACTATTTTCGTTGGGTAAGTTGACAACAATAATTTTGCAGTGCTTCGGTTTTGTTGTTATGGAAACGCCGACAATGGGCTACTTGGACGTTGCACGCGAATCTTCGCCGTAGCGTTGTCAACATGGAGAAAGTGTCATATCAATCTGACATGTAACAATTCATAACTGACTTGGGTTATCGTGATAACAGTGGGGAATTATTTCTCACTGTAAAGGCGGATATTTCTCACTGCATAAGAAATATTTCGTTTTGAACGTATGAAAGCGATGAGAAAAGTAGCACATTGTAAAGCATCCGTAGAAAAAATGAGTTTGTTGAATTTGTCAACTCCTTTCAAACTTTGATTAACAGAAAATAACTATCACTAAAATATGACATGGCATTATGACTCCCTGGCCCATTCATATTTGCATAAAATACGGTTAAAAGCTTGATATTATTGAATTTATGTTTTCTGAAAAACAACCATAACGACCTAGGTACCAGTTTCCTCTCAAGTAGCTTATAGATTCATTGAGAACAGACTCAAATACTTAGTGTTAAATAGATCAGGATTATAAAAGTTCTTATTCTAAATTTTGTATTGATCGAACGGAAAAAAATCGCAAAATTGGTAAAATGAACGTGGCTGCTTCTATAAGAATATAATTTTCCTTCATTATCCAGAATTCTTTAAAACAGAACGAATTGGATGAAACTTATCACAGATATATTTCAAAACGTCATGGCTAGACTCAATAATAAATACCTTTTAATGAAAATATTGGTGCGTGCTTTCCCGTGGGCTTCCCAATAATTGACTACACTGAATAATAATCAATCTCAACTTCAAAACAACAAAACAATTCAACTAAAACTTCAACTATTATTTAATGTCCACCGCCTTATTAGATCCCTCCGCGTACCTTACTGTCACGTCAACTTGACTAGCTCGATAGGTTCGTAGGTAGCGTTTATATATGACGATCGAAAGGCCTGGAATATGGTTGAATATTCGGTGGAATTCGGTAGCATTATTCTTGCCACGTCTGAAACGGCCACGAACATCGAACAATCGTGAAACGTCGACCGGACTGGTGATCCCTTCGCCACGTTCAATTGGTTTATGGCTACCAGTGGCACCGACGTTATTTTCTTCAGGGCATGATTTACAACACTATCACATTTAGTTTGGAGTCCAAAATATCTTAAAGAAATTTTTGGGTTGCCAGTACTGAAACAATTGATCATTCATTCATAAATTCGAAATACCAATATTCTGACCTTTTTTTATTTCTAATTTTAAACAGTAATTGGCAAGAATAAACGGCACAACATCCAACTTCTTCATGTTGAGTATATATTTTTTTTAGGTTCAGCAGGAACATGCCAAAGCTTTCAATGTTCAACCTTTTGCAGGAATTCCGGATACAGAGGTGGATACTGTATTGGAAGCACTTGCAATTGCTTCTGAAGTAACTTATATATTCTGTGTGATGAATTAAAATCTTGATAATTGATAATAAATGTGTTTTTTTCTGTAACCCCGTCTTTATGGTCACTTCATTATATAAAAAACAAATTGGCGACGACAAAAAAATATTGTATGGATTCTGGGCTCAGTTTGAGACCAGAATCCATGCAAGCAGCAACACAGAATTTTTTTTGGATATACCAAATGTCTTGGATTCAAAGAATGTAATTCAGAATAGTTTATCAGATGATTTTGTATTATTGTGTTCCTTTAGATAAAAGTGAAATTCAACTGTTGAAAATTTGTCTTATTGAATGTCTGTCGCGTTTTGTCGAAAATTGAAAATTTCCATGGATATTTTGCGTAAAATGAAAAGTCATGAAATTTGATTTTTTGACTATGTTCAACTAGGATAAAAAAAGTTAATTGTGACTAATTTTCGAATATCAATATTCCAAAGTTATAGTGGACATAACTATAATGAATATTACTGGAGTTTTTTCCCAACACCAAATCGTTATTTTTAACACCTCGACAAGTGTTTCGGTCACCTAGTGATCATCTTTCAAGAGGAAGATTAAAATAAAAAAAAAAGAAAAAAAAAGACAAATAAACTCCAGTAATATTCATTACTACACCAAAGGTTCCAAACAGTGCATCATGAGGCATAACTATGTATAAGACTGTTAATCGTTCAGTATAAACCTTCATCTATAACTGCCGTAACAGAAACATAAAATATAATTGGAGTTGAAAATATTTCACAGAAATCTATTACAGAAACTATGTAAGCTGAGTATATGATATAAAATAGATCTTGAACTCCATGTGAAATCTGAACTAGTCATAAAATATAGGATGTTTCTTTCAAATAACAAAGTTCGAGACTACTTCGGGTATAATCGGAATACTTTTCGCAAAATTTATCAACGCATTTTTCTAAGAGACACTCTGTACTATGCTTCTCTCACTCTGAATGGCCTCAGTCCAAATTAATTCATCTAAGAATCAGCAATCCGTATTTTCGACCTGCTACTTAATCTTTTACCAAAACAAAAAAATTCCTATCCGCTTCCAAGATTATTTTTTCCATGAATCATAATTAATATTTGCGAAATTCTAGTTATTCAAGAGTGCTGCCTTGCAAATAATTCACATTTGCAGCAACCAATTCAGCATTATTTATCAAATGAAACTCCTTATCAACAACAATAATTCATTATTTTTCACAACAAATATTTCAATGATGTAATCAATCATCGGGTATTTATTTTTAATCTGGTTTATACAGTTGCCAATGTATTTTTTCTCAGAAACCGCAAAATACCTTATTCAATTTATATTGCAGATAAAATTTAATTGCCATGAAAATCGAACAAATTGAAAACTTCAACGACAATTTCGTAAACTGTTCAGAATCTTCATTAAGTACCTACAAGAGAAATTGTAAATGATGCATTTTTAGAGAGACCGCATGTTACGGTTTCATTTTACCTTTTTAGATATTAAGAATTTAAGACTTAAAAATGAAGGGAAGAAGGAAAAAATAAATAGAGGAATCGGATTGTCAACAAATCTATATTATATGTGGTCATGCCCTTACAGATAATCATTATTATTAAATTTCATTTTTATTTCAATTCTTCTCAAACTTTCCTACTCTCACTATCTCCGGCAGTAGACTTGGTCTCTTCAGTCACTTGAATCATTAGAAATGTAGCAGTTATTAAGAAATAAATTTTCAAAACATAACCTATACTTGTCATCCATTCAGGTTGATTTATGTCTGTATTGAAATTCTTCTCTGTGATTGAAATTTCGGTCACATTTGGTATCATTGATTTGAGAAAAAGGTAACTAGAACTTGCACAGATGTGAAAGGAAAAAAGAAACTGGAAAAAAATAATTTAAGTCCTCCATTTTGATGGTGATATTCAATTTACGCGATTTGCGGATTTATTCTGGAAATCTAGTTAAAAAACACCAGAAAATTGATAAATTGATGTAACTAGTACATTTATGACGAATAATTGTCTCAAGAACATAATATTACCATATACAATTTACAAGATTGCATTTTTACATCTATTGCAATATTTACATGAAGATCGACCTTTGACCCCCGTCTACCATGGCCCATTTTCTTTCTTTTCCTGTTACTCCTCTCACTCTTTTCCCTACTCAAATAAGGCTAGCCATCATTTGAAATTGCCATTTCCCCAATTTTCAAACGTCTTTCATCGACGGACTCTTGTTTTGAGATATTTATCCAGCTCCGGTTCCACAATATTATCATCCTGTCAATTGTCAACGACAAGCAATTAAGATTTATTTGATTTTATTGAGGATTATCAAATTTTATAGGTTGTTTAAATCAATAATATATTTGGTATAACGATTCGGGTTTTATTTATTTATTTTTTGTTCGATAAAGAACCCCACCCGTCTTCACTGAGCCACTGAGCAAGGGTATGTTCAGGAAGGATTAAATATTTTGCTGCTAACGACCAACCAAGTATCATAAAGCGGTGTATTCCTTGGTTCCGAAGGTCAGGAGTAGCACGCAGTATTTCCAGACCTCATTCTCTTAGATTTCTATCATCTGGAGATATGTCAGAGGATAAAATATAATCACACAAGTTCAAAGCTTTTTATATCGACTTCCTTCAGGTATTTTTCCCAAAGAAGGTCAATGAAAACTCCTCCACACTCCTCCACAAAAAGTTAATTTCTTTCAATACCTCCAGCTCTATGGAAAGGTGAGCAAGGAATTGAGGAGAAATTAGATTTATGCATAGCTCTTAAAGATGGACTAACCATATCTCTGAACTCAACAACTTATTCATACTTTTTTCAGTAATAAAATACATTTCCAACTGAAATTGAGAATTTTTGAACACACCAAATATCTCTGGAAATTCTTAATAATATTGTCTAATCTGAATTGCAGTCAACCTCGGTAATATTTTCCAGAAAAATTTGTAAATTATCTTCACTGTTTCAGTTTGGATAGTTCAAAATAAATACCTTTCATAGTATTGAGCACATGATCGTTTTTTATTGATCTTGTTATGAATTTAATCAAGAAAAACAATCATATGCTTCTTTATCTGAAATTGTCGTTATCAGATGAAAATTAATGTTTGCACTTAACTCATAAATTTCACAAAAATAATCCATCAAATTGAATATGTCACCAACACAAAAATCTATTGGATTTTAGCGATACTTATCAGAAAAATCCCAATGCATGATATAACTGCGGTATATAAATGGACAAGTACCACTCTCAAAATTGAAAGCATAGTTACGTCGTTCATAACTGATTCACTAATCAAAATGCGTACAGCTATTTTTCTCACAATCTTTGCCATCTTGGTAGCACTTGCATCTTCTTATCCAGCAGACAACTCTGAGGATGTTGAAAAATCCCCATCAGAGAAGTTTTCTGGAGGTGAGTTTTAAATATTTCTCTATCAATATTCCACGAAGATTGGATAATTGAATTTATCCAGTCAAATTAGACCAAAAAATAGGAGTGAAAGTAGAAAAGTTCGCATCCAGCTCAAAATTGGTAGGATTTCACTTGTTCGGACTTCCATTGCCTACTATTTAAAATGATTTGAAATCCCTGAAACAACTAAAAAAGAAAAATTGAAAATGAATAGCTGAAAATAACAATTATAATAACCAAAATAAACCTGAAATGAAATAATAGTGAAATAAACAAGTAAACATAGAACAATTGAATAAATAAAAATAAAGAAATGAAAAAAGAAAATAAAAATAAAAAGTGGAGAGATTCCAAGTCACGTTAGTTCACGACGTTTCGATTGTTAGTATCTACAATCGTCTTCGGGTGATGACTGGACTGATTCCTCCGAGAGATGACTATTTATAGGTCGTTCGAGTACTTTCGCATATCCCCGCTTTTCATTTTTCACTTAACTGGTTCCGTGGGGGATGACCGTTTTGGCGGAAGTTGGCCATTTTTCGCTTGATGATGGGTTTCCATATGTTGCGTATTTCTACGCTGGCTTGATTGAATACGTTGTTGAACAACATGTATGCGGCTTCCTTGAATTTTCTCCTATGCCATGATAAAATAGTACTTTGAATGAAATGTGTTCTTCACAAAATCATTCTTTTTTGTTTCAGGGGTGGTAGGAGGTTGTACACAGTTTGAATGTTCACAATTCTGCTGGAAACACAATTTTTCATATGGATACTGTTTTTTAAACACATGTAATTGTTCTTGAAACTACATTTTATGAGATGTAGCTTATATTAGTTACCTACCGTAATAAAATCTCTGATCATTGAAAAAGCTTTTATTCAAACTGTAACAGTATCAAAAGCGGTGAATTGGCGTAGCAGTAGTACGACCGACCGATCCCACCCTTGACCAGATATTTTTCTCGAGAGAATCTATCTAGTTGAAGTTGGGATGAATCTGCAACGTCACATGGTTGATAGACTGTGAATAGCCATGATGCTCCCTAGGTGGCTAGGGGAGTTATCAACATTTCCTACCCAGGACACGAGGCTAATGACCAACGTAGTCGACGCCGATGACAAAAAAAAATACAGTATCAGAACAACTTCAGTAGCATATCCATGAAATTCTATGGTTATTGTAGGTACGAGGTATACAGGGTGTTCGGTAGCGACTTCCTCAATTAAAAAGTAACACCCTGTTTATTTTCACATTTTTGAAAACGTTGCTTTATTCTATTTTGAATGTATGCCCAATCAGCAAAGTTGTTTTATAATTGCGTGGTGTTGCAACAGTTTTATTTTATTAATATTTTATAATTACTTCCAAAATGCTAATTGATTGTATTAGATGATCGGTGAACACAGAAACGTTTTTGCAACTAACTTATAAAACTTATTTTCCTATAAAAGTAAATTGTTATGTAGCAGTTTTATAACACTTTTCTGCGAGATTTTTATAATAGTTATAAAACTATTTCAAGCTTATTTTATAACTCTTTTCTGTAGCTTCAATGAAATTATTTTATTAGAATGCTTCAAGACACTTTTTTATTTTCAATACCATATTGTCACTTCAATGTTAATTTCCCAACTATTTTATAATATGTTATGTTCACTACAATTCAAAAACACTAATATAACTGTTATAAAATCAAATTGCTTTCGCTAATATATGTTTGCTGCCACCAAGCATCCATATATTTGCTGCCGTCAGCATTTAAGAACAACCAGCTGACATCGATTTCGAATCATTGCTTTGAAAAAATCTTAAAAATTTTAGTTGTGTTTAGTAAGAATATTTTTATTTATTTATTCAAATGGGACACCATCGATATCATGGTGGAAATTAGTTCTTCAGCAACTTCTAAATATTTGATTTTTATTGAGTATAGGTACCCCATGAGTAAATTCAATATTTTCAAGGCATTGGGTTAAGTAACTCAACCTTATCATTCACAATTTGGAAGACTGTAAAATAAAAAGGGTTTGCACTCTCAAGTTTCAGTTTTTAGTTATCTATTTAGAACACCTGAATAATATTTTGTTCTGAGTGAAGCAGTTTCGTGTTACAACCCTTTGAATGATGACAAATTCAGGTACAGCAAGGTATGCTTTACAGAAAGTATTCAGAAGTAACTCCTCGAATAACTAATACCTACTGTCGTATAAACGGTGTCCCATAAAAGATACTTAACTCTGGCTTTTTCACATTTTCTGTGACAACTTGTTTGAATGAATACAACCCTGCTTGCTTTTTTGGTTGCATAGAGTTGATAATTTTTTCATGTTCTGTATCGTCATTCTTCAGCATTCGTTCTAATAGTTCTTCTTCAGCAATTTGGTAGGTCATCAAATGACTTGTAATACACCTTAAACCAAAAATGAACCGTTATTTGCTCGAAAAAACTGAGGATTCGGCTCTATTGCTTTATTGTGTGATTTTCACTAGATAGTTTTACAAAATCGCAACACGTGTTTCGCCATACAATGGCTTCCTCGAGCGTGTCTTAATAAGATTAATAAGATTAAGACATGCCCGAAGAAGCTATTGTATGGCGAAACACGTGTTGCGTTTTTGTAAAACTATCTAGCAAAAATCACACTATGAAGTGTTTTCAGAATACGTGAGTTTCTATTGATTTATCAAAATACTTCATTCGATCGTCTTGTGGGAGTAACATTTCTGATATTTCATACAAGGTATCAGTAGATTAGGGAGAGTTAGTGTAGATCCACAGCACTTATGCCACATGTGACCCATTGTACATCCTCCCAAGGAGTTGTCATTCTAGGATATTGTCCATTCTGTCCTTTCCAGGAAGGTCGACAGGTCACTAGGTGACATCTCATTTATATCGGCTGGTGAAGGTCAAGACTCGCCGAAGACACACTCTCTTTGGCAACCTTGAGGTTTCTTACGGCAGCCTTGAGGCCTTCTCATGGCCTTTTCAACCTTCTTTGGGTTTCCTCCGTGGAGATTCACGAGTGAGGGAGCTTTCCTGCAGAGGCAGCCGGTTCCTTGCCTTTATTCAAGGCGGAGATCTTAAAGACCGCCGCAGAAAATGACCTTGCTGTTGGAGGTGTAGTGGGGGAGAAGGAGGGTGAACTTATAGTTGCTGCCACTCCTGCCACCTTCCCTTTTTTTCTCCTTTCGGCCTCGGTGCAGCAAATGCGCTTACTCCTTAGCCTTTGTATTACATCACGAGGTGATATGCTATGACCTTCTAAGCGGTAGATCATGGTGGACATTTCTGTTCATCCCCTGTCACCGCCTTGGATTGAGGTGAGCACTTCTGTCCAGCCTCGGGATTGATTTTTGTTGTTTCTGTTGTTTCATGCATGTTTGTTCCCACGAGTAGCAAGGGAAGGGTAGATCACCTCTGGCAGAGCCTTGCATTACCAGAGGTAGGCTGATTAAAATAAGGTTACGCCCAGTTCCCCAAGGGGATCGTGACCGCATATCACCCTGCGGCCATTCAGCTGTCGGCACGATCCCTCACACCTTTGCTTGGGTATGCTGGTCCATGGTGGCATGTTTTGCAAAAGATTTTGGGGAGTTTTAGTTTCCCTCACCCTACTTATTTCTGCCACTGACCAGGAGTCCGGCGACCCCGTCCGTGAGACCACATTGAATTCCCGGACAGGACCCCCAGTCCCCTGGCCGTGCCCCTATACGCCACCTGGGGACGCTCCCGATAGGTAGCCCAACCCACGGAAATCTTTGCACTAATTTTTATATATAAAATCATCAATAGCAATATGAAATCCGCAGAATCATTGTCACTATTACCAATAAATGTACCTCCCAGACCTATGCGTACTATCCTCAAGTTCAAGACTCCCTTCGTGACTTACTTCCACATCCCCCTCTTAATAATGCTCCATCTGGCAAACCACATCAATTGCTCACAAGATATTGATTGGAATATGTCTCTCACAAAATTTAGATCTTTAGTCCGTAGATATGTTAAGAAGTATCAGTTTAGCAATCAGTTTTTCTGTTATTTCTCATTTTATTTTTATTGATATTATTACTACTGTTGTGTCTTGTGTTATGGATTCTATGTGTATCTGGAAAATCAGTGTTATATCTTTTATGAATCAGGCAAACAACTTCGAGAATGAAGATGCTGAATAGGGTGAGGATTCGGTATTTAACGAAAAGTTGTCTACAACTATCATTATGGTTTGCCCCACATAAAAACCGCAAAGATCTCTTTTGCAACACGAAGACCTGATTCAATAGTTGTTTACTACAGAATCCCCAAAATGCAATGCCATACCTTAGATAAGACTCTACTAGGGCAAAGTAAGTCGATCTAGCAGTGAATATGTCAAGTTCATTGGAGACAATCTGACAGAAAATGATCCTGAAACCAATTTTGTGCATAAAGATGTGATATGTTCTTTAAATTTTAACTTATTGTCAATATGCAGACCAAGAAATTTAGTGCAAGTCGTTTCTTCTATCTTCCTACCATCTAATATCAAGTTGTCATAGCTAAATTTGAAGTTTACAATATAAGTCATCTTTGTAATGAGGCCACCAGGCCTGTTAGGGTGAAATAAGTAAATAAATAAATAAATATTTGAAAAATAATAAACAGCTAATTGAATATGTTTTCTACCTGAAAACAGTTTATGTTTCAGATGTCACTGAAAGATGTCGAGAATGGAAATGTTTTGAGGACTGCAGAAACTCTGGAAAGCAGACAGGATACTGTATAGGAAACAAATGTGCATGTTTCTAATTGCCTGTATCATATGATGGAACAAATTGATATCAATGAAATTGCAAATAATAAAGTTTTTCTATAATTACTCGTTTTCACACGATAACATCATCGGACAAGATGAATTTCATTAGTTCTGACTTCCATTGTCAAATACTAGATACAATTATTTAAAATCCCTGAAAGAACTAATAAAAAAAGAAGAATTAAAAATGAATAGCTGAAAATAACAATTATAATAAGCAAAAAACCTGAAATGAAATAATAGTGAAAGAAAATACAAGTGAAAATTGAATAATTGAACAAAAAATAAAAAGTTGTTGTTGGCCGTGGTCTGCAGTTTTCCATGTCTGACGTTTCGTCAACTACTACGGTAGGCATTATCGAAGGCGATGAGGTAACGCTCAAAGTGCTCGGAGCAATAGAAATTCATAAATAATTTTCAATAAAAAGGAAGAGGCTATGAAAATCAATAGAAACTACTCACTTTTCCGTATTTGCACACAACCAAGGTCATTTAATCCAATCGAGAGGAAGGAAGCCATGCCCACCTATGATGATATAAAATCGAAGAAAAATTTCAGCGGTGAGAAAAACTAGAGCAGTTTGACCGATACTCCATCGCTTTTGATAATATCAGCCATAAAAACCTGCAGGTCACGGCCAAAAAAACCCTGAAAAATATAGGGTCTATCATTAAGCGTTTCCTATCTTCAAATTCGGATAAAAACCAAGAGTGTGTGAGATATTATGTGAATTTTCATTTGAAAGATATATTGGTGGAATATAACATCGTTCAAATAGCAGCTACGTCTTGGTCGTTGTGATCTGCGGAAGGCCGAGTTCTTGTAAGCGACGCGAAATCGACTGCCTCGGATTCTCCTGCACACCCTCATAGACAGCGGCGATATTTTCGGCAGATGTTACGTTTCGTCGAAGTACGGGACGATCGTTCACTGAATCAGTGGACTCAAATTTATCCACCACATTGATAAAACAATTTCACTATTTGACGTGTTATTGTACGCCATATCTGTCCATGGTGAGTTGGCAAAACATACTGAATAATTGACAAACTATTTGACAGATATAGCTTCAACAAGATGTCCGTTATCAATGGGGAATGTTCCTCCTGACGAAAATCAAGTAGTTTTCATGAAAGAGCTATAAAACAACGCATTTTAAACTTATCATTTCAACTTTTTTCTTTGAAAAATTATTTCAATACTTGAAAAAGATAAATGAAATAATGCATTCAACATTTAAAGGGATTCGTTTCTATTTCACCATTTGGCAACATCGGCTATAGCTAATAAAGGACAATGAATCTGTTACCTGTATGAGAGAAACAAAGATGACATATTTCAGAGGCGTTCTGTTCTGTTAACTTATGTTCCGACTTCCGAGATATTCTGTGACATATGACATTTTGTGCACCTAACCTATCTTCCTCTATATAAATAAATAACAAAACAACTGTTGTTTATGTGGCTTGTGGAGGTGGTATTGGACTATAATTTATATTTTGCCTCAATTGTTGATTTGTAAAGATAATTTTCCTTTTTTAGAGTAGAATATCTAGGTACGTATAAATTATTTCAACTTGATATAGGCGCTGTTGCCAATATGTGAATTAGAAACAAATTCCTTTGAAAATCATAACCCAACATTTGAAACATCAATTTGAATACTTTTCGAAGTGAATTTGAAAAACTCATGAATCAAACTCAACTTAATTTTGATCAAACTTGCATTTGCTGTAATAACCCACATTGAGGAACATTCCCCATTGTCGGAGTTTGGAAGTGCCTGTTGCTAGTTGCTATAGCTTCGACACAGTTACATCCCTTGTTCACTACAAGGGAATATCCTGACGAAGTGGGGGTTTCATCAGATATGGATTGAAAGAAAACAGAGCAGATTATAATAATGAACTTTTCTGAATTGAAGTTTTCCCAGCTATTGAACCTGTTAACCAAGTCGAAAAGTTGTTTGTAGTGTCATCTACGTCTTCCATTATATACGATTCATTTCCCAGCTACACACAGCTCACATATAGATTACTAATTTGTATAGAAAATGGAATACTCCCAGAAGAGATTACTTTTTGGGAAAAAAGTTTTGATTTTCCACTTATACATCAATGAACAAAAAATGTTGGAAATTTCCAGAAAAGGAAACTTGTGTATGCTTCACATATATATTTATAGATATTGTTCATTATAGTTGATCCTGTCTCACCCCCTTCTAAAGTTAACCGGTTTTTTTGTGATGATGGAAAAGTAAGTCCAGGGTTTTTTCCCAAAATGATATTTGGTACTTTTTTCTGGCCAGCGCCCAGACTAATACCTGTGTCGAGTAAAAAATATTTGCTCTTGAGAGATTACATTTAATCCTCAGAAATGGCTTATTATTTACCAAACACTTTAGGAACTGAATAATTGGGAGCATTTCCTGGAAATCAAGTGTATCATAAAACATTGTTTGAAATCATGTTTCGCAAACTAGTATATATTTGAACGGATAACTCGAAAACACTAGTTTCATTTCGTTCGTAGATAATTTCACTAGTCAAGATGAAAATAATCGCATTATTTACAGTATTTACTGTCTTGGTAACTCTGGTAAATTCCCATCCCGGTATCCAGAAATCAAATGATATTGCAGAAATCAACGGGGAATTGGAAGAAATCAATCCATTAGTAAGAGGTGAGAATTTTCTTTGGCTTTTTTGGATTATGTAATATGCAAAACAAAGTCGCAAAATCGTGTCGATGAAAGCATTTTCATCTGAAGATCGACTGGGCCGATTTTCATGATTTTTGATTCGTTGGATTCGTTTCGGAAAAGCAGAAAAACTATTGAAACTCTGACAAAAAATCATTCCCATATATTCAGTGTGTAAAAGCCTGATGGAATAAATTATTATTGGATTGTAACATACTTTCAATCATTGAATAATTCGACCACACTATTGATGGATTTTGTTGTTGTGCCAGTTCCGAAAAATAAGCCAATAACACCGTATCCGAGAAAGAAATGCATGTCTTTCATGTGACGGTACTTTCGCTGCTTCTACTAACTCTGGTGGAGTCGAAGAAAACTCGTAATTAGACATTTTTCAAAATAACTACTGACCACTAAGTTCGCAATTTTCAAATCAGATTGCAGAAAAATTATAATTTAGAGAGTATTATATAAAATTTATGACATTAAAAATAAAATAAATACAACAATAAAAATTAAATGGCGCTCCGGGGCGACTTCATTGATTCCAGTGGCGCATTTGCTTTTTCAGCTGCAGGAAAACCCGGAAAAACCTGCAGCACCACATCATCTGAAGATCTTGATCTAACAATGTCCTCTCTCTCATAAAACAAAATGTAGGGTGTCTCCAGAGGCTCCAATAAATTCAATGCATCGCCAGAACACTTCGTGACACGACTATCGTCAAACTTAAACCAGTCCGTTTCTTCTTTGACCAAGGCGTAATAATGACCACATTCAACGCCAGAACCGCAGTGAACAATGACTGCATGAATATTATAACAGTGGTCTGCTAGGTTGAAATGTTCATCTATTTCGAACCTTCCAAAGAGTTTCTTGCTTCCGTTAGAGGTTGAGTCTTGTTTGAATATCATCAGTGTTATTATTAGATTGACTGGTGCCTCAGATATACTTGTTTCCTTATAACAGTCAGTTAGTTTGACGCATGTTTGACAATACAGTTGATCATCACCTGTTAAAAATTCCATTTTCAGATGATTTAACAATAAGCTTTGCACGGACTGGTAATTAGTCGTATTAGGAAAAGCTAGATGAAGTTCCAGAAATTCACATAAGTTTTCAGTACTTCTTGAACATTTACCACAAAGTAAACAAGTGAGGATTTTTCCAGCAAAAGATTTACAAACACAAGACGAGATGGGTTGTACGGAATCATTCAGTCCAGAGCGGCTGGGAGTATTGATTTTGCTATTGTTTTGCTCACGAAGAGTATTCAACAAGAACCCCAAGAATTCGGAACAATCCTCTTGTTGTCCTAACGAGTATCTAGTGGACTTCAAAGACTCCAGGAAATCGGTTGGAGGGAAAGATGATATCTTCTTACGAAACTGCAGCTGCATGAACAGTTGTTTGAGTTTGATGAATAAGCAGGAAACATTCTCGTTCTCGTTCATCATTAAAACTTCGTTCTTGAAATTTTTCGTCATGAACAACACTTGTAAAATGCTATTCATGTAACACGTGTTTCCTAAATTATGCAATCCAATTTTCTTCTCTAGATTTTCAGGACAACTCTCTACTGATTCGTAAGGAAGAACACGTTTCACAGAATCTCCATAAGAACCATTTCTCAAGCTGCGATCGATCCTTCCAAGTGAAAAAGGGTTTCGTAGAGAAATAAATTGACATATATTTGATTTTCTATTGATTGGTTTCCAAGCAACGCTATAAGTACAACAGCCTACCTGTTTGAAACTTCAAATTTCACATCAATAATTTTCTGACTTCAACATATTGTAATAATATGCTTTTTTCAATATTGAATCGTCGTTTTTCCCGTCACAGAAAAACATTGTGTATTATACACGGGAAAAATATTAGATTTTAGCTCTCGGTTTTTTGTCTCCCTCTGCGTCGGGACAACACACCCTCAAGCTAAAATTTAATACTCTTTTTCCCTTGTGTTATAAATAACTATTTTCACTTTTATACTGGTGTGGGTGGAATGCTACATGGCTAAATACAAAAACCAACCATCTAAACCGTTAGTTCGTTCTTTTTTTGATCGGCAAGTCCCGAACTGCATACATTCAGAAAAGTATCTTCGTTATTGGAAAGAATTATTAGCACCTGAAGTCTACAGATACGCAAACATCGGGCGCGGGGAACTACATCTTGTAATTCCCCAGTTATTGAACTCACCGAAGAATACCAGGTTAAACAGGTTTCTGTATTCTGGTATATAAAGAAGTATGAAGAAACAGAGGATTCAAAGCAGTATCACCTTGTTGTTGACAATACACCTACTCAAAATGAAAGTAATTGCCTTCTTAACGTTCTTTGGTATCCTGATAGTTTTTGTAAAATCTCATCCTGGCTATATTAAACTCAGTGACGAAAATTCCAAAGTGAATTTACATGGTATTGAAGATGTCAGTAGGGAATTGGGAGAAAATGAGCCTGTTGTGAGAGGTAAGAATTTAGCTCGAATAGTTTTGTGCATAGTTTCTACGATGTTATACAGGGTGAGGCAAGTCACGATCTGATGTGTGGAACAAATTCGATGTTTGTGAATTCGAATGAAAAAATTCGTGATTTCATACTTCCAGGATTGAAATATCTTATTTCTAAATATTTGAGAGACCCATTTGGAAAAAGAATCATTAGGGTTTCATTTGAAAAATAGTGCGTTCTCTGAAAATATCACCTCAGAAAAATTAGTAGATATTATAAATATGTTCTAGTTTTGTTGAGCTCCTCTGAATTGGCTATTTTCTCGTGAGAAACTGATAAATTCGACGACTTTTCCAGTAATAATTCCTACTCAAGTCCTCCTTCAGAATGAAATAAAATGATTCAGAAAATAATAATTTCCTGAAGGATATGTTGTACAGGATGTGAATCGATATTTGATGATATATACAGAGCTATTCAAATTCGTTTCTGTACATGAGGATCTCGTAAACGATAAGAGATAGAGAGTCGGTTGAATTGTGCCAAAGTTGCGTATTTCAAAGACCTATTCAATGATGTTAAGAAATCGAATAAAGCTCTTCTGGTTCTGTAGATATACAGAAAAAACCAAAAAATCCCAAATTATATTTTTGCCTATTTCTTCTTTATTCGCAAACATATTGAGAATTTGTCCACATTCTGTCATCGGTACTTGATGCGGGCTATCAGAATATGTCCATGAATCTTTTATACTGGGTGTCATCTGACTTGGGCCACCCCCATCTTTGAATTTTCGAATACGGACCTGTATTTTTTATTGTAGTTTTCGTATCGTCGACGTTCACTTCATACTGAGAAATTAAATTCAAATTTATATTTCGGAATGTTTCGGTAATATTTGATTATAATTCTGTGAATTATTCCCTTTTAAATTACGGCCCTGAAAATTGGTTGACTGAGTTGAATAGAAACACAATAGCAACTTTCACGTCTCCCTATGTACCGTAAAGGTTTTCGAGAGTTTTTATTTCATTTTTAGGTACCTATTCATATTTTTTTCATATTTCCATTGCTCGTTTTCTACAATGAACTTCGAATAAGAAAACCTTTTATGATTATTTGAAACATATCTACATCAAAAATATATTATATGTGTTTTTATGAGCAGAAAAAAAAAATTATAACAATCATAACATCCGAAACGAACACTATAATTGTAATGAAAATTGAAATGAAGTAATTTATATACACAAAAAAATTAATGGAGCAACTGGAACTGGAACTGGAGTCCATCCATTTCCAGACATTTTTGAACTCGGTTTTTCATATTATTTATTGTCCTGCCAGCGTAAATCCTATTTTTCAATGTCCCCCATAGAAAAAAAGTCCAATATAGTAAGATCTGGTGATCTTGCAAGCCATTATATTGTTCCATTATTTGTCTCGAAATGGAAGGAGTCCAATTATTTCATTTCAATTTTAATTACAATTATAGTGTTCGTTTCGGATGTAATTATTGCTATCATTTCTTTTTTTGCTCATAAAAACACATATTATATATTTTTGTTGTAGATATATTTCAGATAAACATAAAAGATTTTCTTATTCGAAGTTAATTGTAGAAAACGCTCAGAGCAATGGAAATATGAAAAAAATATGAATAGGTACCTAAAAATGAAAAAAAAAAGTCAAAAAACTCTACAGTACATAGGGGGACGTGAAAGTTGCTATTGTGTTTTTATTTAATCAATTTCAACCAATATCCAGGGAATAATTCACCCAATTATAACCAAATATTACCGAAATATACCGAAATATAAAATGAAATTTAATTTCTCAGTATAAAGTGAACGTCTACGATCCAAAAACTACAACAAGAAATACAAGTCCGTATTTAAAAATTCAAAGATGGGGGGTGGCCCAAGTCAAGATGACACCCTATATTAAAGATTCATGAACATATTATGATAGCTCACATCAAGTGCTAATAGCAAAATGTGGACAGATTTTCAATATGTCTGCGAATAAAGAAGATATAGGCAAATAAACAATTTGGGATTTTTTGGTTTTTCCTGTATATCTCCAGAACCAAAAGAGCTATATTCGATTCTTTCACATCTTTGAAAAGTTCTCTAAAATACGCAACTTTGGCACAATTCAACTGGCACTCTATCTCTCATCGTTTACGAGATAACTATGTACAGAAACGAATTTGAATATCCCTGTATAAAACGATAACGTTTTAACTTTTTCACAAAAAAAATTGTGAACTTTCATAGGAAGCAAAAAAGTAATCAAATTCCAAATAAACTACAGGAAAGAAAAAGAACATACGTAAAAACTACTTTCATAAGAACATTATACATTAAAGTTTCGTATAAGTCCTCCATTGTGCATTATCTTACTAGAAGATTCGTATGAATCAGTATACTGCCTCTACCATCTCATTGCTCATTGAAATGATGTTTCGAAATTCAGGAAATTTTGATTAGATGAAAAGATACACTTTGATGAAGCCCAGATAAAAA